GCTACCACATTATTCTGTTTTTTGTTTTCCTTTTTGCCCTCATTCCGAGCATATTTCAAATTGGTGTTGGTTCCTGGCGAACATTACCAACGACAGTGATGAGGTCGGATCGGCGAAGTGGGCTGGAAAGGTCGGGCGGTGGGGTTGGACTCCGGAGAAGCGAAATGAAGAAGAGACGGTGGAGGCGATGACGACGTCTTCGCCGCCGCTTCGATGAGAAGGGAACCGAGAAGGACGGCTCGAGGATTTGGTGGAAGAAAGAAAGATGAGTGCGAACCTCAATTGTGGGCACCTCCAAGTGTGTACTTGTATAATTTAAATTATTTAAATATTTTTTTCCAATTTTTAAATTAATTTTCGAACTATATATATATATATATATATATATCAAGTTAGTCATAATGTCCTACGACCAATTTCATAACAATCAAATCACTAAGAAAAAATAGAAATCAAATATTAACTGATATATTTGGTGCAATATCTCAATGTAAGGACTTGTATACACTTTAATTTTTCGGTGGCTCGAGTAGCTATATTTTAAAGGTCCCTGACAAACTTGAAGAGGAACTCAAAAGCCTCCATTCTTTGGATTTGAGCAACTCTGGCCGAAAGGAGTTACCCAAATCAATTGGTGAGTTGAAGCACCTTCGCTGCCTTCGGCTGCACAATACAAATATGTCAACTCTTCCTGAATCACTTGGTCGTCTTTACAATTGTTCTCTTGAGGAGCAGCCATCAGAAACCAAAAATCTCCATAATCTTCACCATCTTGATGATAATTCAGTGGAAGCAATGCTTAAATTGAAATCTATGCCACCAGGAATAGGACTATTAGCCAATCTTCAAACATTACCAAGATTTGTAGTAAACACAGAGAGTTGTTGTGGGTTAAGTGAGCTGAAAGACTTGAACAGTCTCCATGGGGAACTTATCCTTGTTCAAAATCCATTTGAAGCAAGGAAGGCAAATTTGGAAAACAAGAATTCCATTCGGAGTTTGCAGTTGCCATGGGATATCGGTATATCAGCTTCCGAATGTGTTGGATATGTCCAAAGCTTTCTGGCAATCCTCCAACCTCATACAAGCCTCAAGGAGCTGAGGATAATAGGCTACAGAACCCCATCATTTCCATCTTGATTTTTCCATCTTGATTAGGTGACTCTGCTTTCACCAATCTTGAATAACTACATTGCTCCAGCTGCAATCAATGTGAAAGTCTTCCTTCACTTGGCAAATTGCCTATACTGCGAGAACTCCATATAAAAGGAATGGAAAGAGTGAAACTTGTGAATTATAAATTCTACTCCAAGGGAAAGAACACATTCCTTAAATTGGAGAAGCTGGTTTTTGAGAACTGCAGCCAGCTCAAGGACCTTCCAGAACTTAAGAACCTGCCCTCACTAGTGCATATGGAGATTTCAGACTGCCCTATAGTCTGTCTCCCAAAGAAAGGTCTGCCAACCACGCTTCAGTTCTTGAGCATCAACAATTGCCCCAAGCTCAGGCAACGGCGCCGAGATGAGAGAGGTGAAGATTGGCCCAAACTTGTAGTGTGGACAGATGAAGAACTAGTTATCTCCAGAGTAGCTGCAAAGTGCTTAACAATGCAGTCCAGACACAATACGAAGGCACATGCAAAAACATTTTTATTTTTACATTCCATGCCAATTAGTCAAATAATAAAACTACAAAATCTATCTTTGTTCTACAAAGTACCAAATAATTTGCAGACATGTCAGGATTTAATAAGAGCTAAAATTTTGGAGATCACAATTTATGGTTATCATTTTTTAGCAGAAGTAGTAGTTAAATATTAAAGCTTCATACTTGAGAACTTATTTGTTCTTCTCCCTCATTTTTTTGGCATTCATTAGGATTAACCAAGAGAAGGGCTTATTGCAGAGGAAACATCTACTCAATTCTAGATGTGGTTTACATTGTTTATCCATAGTTTTAGAGAGTATGTTGCTATTGCTTTTTATCCTTTCTGCTGTGCAAGATATTGTGACAGATACTGCAGGAGGTGCTCTTGTGCAAAGGCCAACATGCTGTAGCCCAGCATGATTGATGCTTTAGCAAGAAAAAATCCTTGTGCTAATGCAACGGTGAGATAGCAGAGGCTACAACCAGCTCAATATTAGACATGCTTCTCAACGTTGATAAATGATGACTTTATATGTGGGAATGTAATAACATATGCCTAAAATTACTTGATTTCTATCTTGTTATCGCATTATGCCTACTGACCAATAGAGTGATGAAAAAATAATCTGACACATGTAATTCTTGAAACTCTACAGCAAAAGATCGATGTAGCCAACCTCAAATAGTTGAGATTGCAGCTTTGTTATTGTTGTTGTTGTTGTAGCATCTGACTTGTAAAACTATGAGTAAATTGTTTTTGTAGATTTGAGTAGATTTGCAAACTTTAGAGTTTCAACATAGTATTTTAAGGAGGTCATGTCTTTGCAAAGTTAGCCGATAATTGGGTTGTCAAATTCTTGTGCAGAAATTAAGTACATTTTTGGTTAATTACATGAAAAATTATGTGTTTATTTAGCAGTCCCACTCTATCATGGAAATATTCTTCTTTTTCTGGAAAGTATTATATTGGTGTCATGATTTATTTGTAGAATTTCCAATATGTTTGCTTAATCTTCATAAAATTTCATTTAGAATAAGCTTTCTGATATGTTACTGCACTTCCTATATGGTCAGCATAGGAGTTATTAGAAGATTATTCCATCACTAACTTTGGTCTTGTAACTTTAGTCATTCTTGTCATTTTTCATAAGACAGGCTCGCTCATGTTCAGTATATACTTGACAAAAGAATCTCAATCAGGTAAACCTCAGTATTCTTGCTTCATGTATGTTTATCCCACTGCAACCTTCCTCAGAGAGGAAGATGGTACAGTTATCTAAAATGTGAGACCATTCTTTCATTTTGTTCAGATAATCTTAATGTTAGAAAACACAAAAACCTGATTTGACTAGAAAAACCATCAGAGTCAAGTCAACTAGAAAGCTCAACCAAGTTCAAGAATTGAAAACAAAAAATTTATGATTTGTTACACATTTTTATTTTCTTACCGATCCTTATAACCATTTTATTTATGCTTCCAGTTATAACATGCTCAAATCAAAATGATACATCCAGAATAATTTAATAAACTAATAATGTTAATCAAAAGTAGTTTACTATTTGACAATTTAAAACTGAAGGTGTGGATTAAGGTTAAGAAACCAATAATGTCGAGCACAATTAGATATATTAATTATATTGATTGAGTTGCATCAACTAATAATATTAGCCAAGATTGAACAAACTAATAACATGAAAAAATTGCAAGGCCTTGAAATTGCTCAGAACAATGTCAGTCATTTTCAGCCTACATAATGATGTCAATCATCTGTAGTTGAGAGAAAGAGGAAGGAGAGTGATAGAAATGGGAGAAGATGCAGGTAGGTGGGCAAGAGACGTTGACTTCTTGACATCTGTTGACCAGTTGATGCCAAATGACACCTTTTTTTGATCCATCCTTAGATATGACAAATGACAAGTGTTATGGCTAAAGTGTAAGTAATTATCATCGATCACGAACTTTATGCTTTGGCCGTTTGAAATTTGTTTGAATTAGTTGTTTTCTTTCATCGAGCAATTGATCGTACATCACGATCACGATCTTTTGCAAAACCTTGCAAACTGTAGGAGCATAGTTGACCCAATGACGATCATTGCCGACTAGAGAGGAGATCAGGTCGCCACCACTCGACGTTTACCAAGGGAAAGGAGTAGAGGAGAGGAGTACTGATCGTCATCGTCATCTGCATTAGCATTATATTCGTTCGATATAACCCTTATGTAACCTCCCTTGTCATGTATCTTAAACTCCATTCGATCTATTTATTAGGATTCTATCTAAAGATTAAAACTCAAATCGAGACCCAAATCAAACAGAATTAGCCCTAAAATCAGTGGGTTTGAATCAAGCCAGACGGTTCAATAAAATGATCAACCTTAGTTTGAGGGTATTATTGGTATTAAAAAAATACTGCCGATAAAAACTAAATAGGGGGCCGTCTTATAATAAAATTCCAATGGGCACTTTTAGGATAAATTGCTCTCTTTTTCTATACAGTGTCTAATTATAACCATTAACTCCACAAAAGCGGGGCTCTTCCATCTATATTTTTCGAGCGGCGGCCTCGCCACCCAGTGCGGCGCCACCAGCGTCCTCCCCGGCACTACCCAGCACCGCCTCTCTCTCTCTCTCTCTCTCTCGCGTGTCGCGTCGATAACTTTCCATCCTGAAACCCCCTTCTTGCCGCGCGGTGACGGCATCCGATGATCCCTATGAGTCTTCTCTTCCTCTTCGTTCCTATACTATTGAGCATCTATAAGAGCTTTGAGGCTTTCGCTCTTTGTTACTAGAGGTGCGTACGATTTGTAATAAGCTTTACGTATGCAATAAGTGATATCTTTATCAACGATTTCGATTATTTTGTTCTTTGTTGTTATGGAAAAAATGAGATCATGCTGTGACATTGATCATTGGAACAAGTAAAAATAGAAGTTTTAGAGCTTAGTTGCTTTCTAGACCCACAATGGTGCTTCGCAGTACAATGACTATCTTTAAACTGAAAGCTACATGCAAGTAACTAATAAGATAACACTACCTATAGCTTTCTGTGTCAAATCATGAATTCGATCAGCTCTCTAAATCGAGTTTAGTTTTTGAACTATGCTTTAGGAAATTAGTAAATGGAGATTTGTGGATGTGTAAGTCATGGTTGGTCATCCATGACAATGTCAGTTCTTGTTGATAAAAAATTGCTTCACGCAAAAGAATGTAAGAGTCCTGTTAGAATCAAGGCTGAACACTGAAATTATTGAGCACAACTTTCTTTTTTAGCAAAAATTGTGAAGTATTCTAATAAATTAATCAATGAAGCTTGAAATGGAATCCATAGAATCAGAAAAATGTGACCGAAGAGATTAAAGGTTGATTAAATGAGCAAAAACATCTTACAGTGCCACCAAAATCTCTCGCATATGTGGGAGATAAACAAGACATGCAGTTCAGGTTTCTTGCAAGAAGTAGCAGAAGGTTCAAGGAATGACAAGTGAGGACTTCCAGAATTAATATTTCTATGTGAAAACATTGCGAAGCCATTCAATCCAAGATTTCACATATAAGGTTTTAGACAGAATTCTGCAGAAAGATCTGCATGAAATTAACATTCTTCAATGGAAAATTAAACTACAGAGGCCAAAGATTTGAGCAAAGGTATCCTTTGTGGTGTTGATTTGGTGATATGTTTTTGATTGTCAACAAGAGACCCCATCGATGTGAAGCTAGGAACTTTATTGCGAAACACCCTTACCTTGACTCTGCATTCCACAATTTCCATAACTAAACAGGAATTTTTTTTATTTTTATTCCTGTGCCAAAAAAAAAAAACAGTTAAATTAGGTAGTTGTTTCTACAGTTAGAGCAGCAATATATGCAAAATTCTCTACAAAAAATGCATATGGTAATGGGCATGGATGTTACCAAAGTATAAGACCATGCTACAATCAGTTCCATCTACTTGCTTGAGATTTCAACTCTGACCTCATGATATCGTGGTGCTGTTAACTTCTCAAAAGAAAAAGAAAAATAAAAATGAGTTCCAGTGTAAAGAAAATCCTCCTGTAGAAGATGATGCTAATGCAATTTGCATTTACATTTGAAAAGATGAGATGAATCTCCTGATACTGTTATATATAATTCCAAAGTGCCTACTACAGTTTGCAAAATCCACATGCTACATAGTGTACAATTCAGTGATTGACCATTTAATAATAACAGGAGCATGTAATTGCAGGAAACAAAAAACTGCTAAAGGGCATGAAGAATGTAGAGTTAAGGTGCAGCTTACCTTGATATATTTAGTGCTTGTGTGAATTGAGGGTAGTGATGAACCAAGGAAGTCTGTAGTTCTCCATCTATCCACACCTGCAGATTGTGCTGAAGAGTGAACCAGCCTTGATCACCCATCCCAAGGCATTGTAGCAAGAGCTCCGGGCAGTTACTGATGCTCAAAAATTGAAGTTTGCTTGGAAAACCATCATTTGGCAAGCACAAGAGGCCAGGACAGTCTGAAATCTCGAGACGTGCAAGTGAGGCCATGTTTCTGAGGCCAACCGGTAAATACTTGAGATGCCTGCAGTTTTCGATCTCCAAGTCCTCTAACTTTATTAGTTTTGGCAGTCCTTTGGGAAGAGTATGGAGCTCAGGACAATGCTTGATGGCCAAGTACAACAGGCTGGTCGGGAGCCAATCATCCGGTAATGATAACAATTGATTGCAGTGACTAATTTCCAATCGACGGATCAAAGCATGGGAACCTTGTATATTGAAAGGTAAGGTTCTCCGTTGCAGTCCACTGAGAGTCAGGGAGGGAAGCAAGGAAACAACAGACCAGGAACTCCAAATCCAGTCATCGGTAGTCTTCACTTCTAGTGATTTGAGTGCTGGGAATTCAGATAGGCCAACAAACCTTCGGGATGCTTCTATCACCAACTTCTTCAAAGCAGGAAATTTGTGCTTTAATTGGTCAAGAGCAAAACAGTTC